TTCGGTATACAGAAAAGCAGTTCAGTATACAGAGAAGCAGTTCGGTATACCGAGGAGCAGTTTACTATACATCGTAATATACACATTGAAATAATATATAAATATACAGTATATACGTGGCCAGTGTTCAAATCCAGTGTTCAAAATAGTGTTTTTTTTACAATTTCTCTATAGACCGCGGTTTGATGCATATCTAGACAGATAATTACTCTGAAACACAACTAGACACTTGCGGAGATCAAGGAACATGAACTTTAACCCTGAGATAGGCACTGCTCTTACTGCTAAAGTATATTCGCTTGAGGCTTAAATGTCCTGCCCATTGAGGCAAACGTATTAATTATATTTTCAAGCAGTTTAAAACGTGTTTGTCGGTAATTAATTTCCTCACGGTAGCAGGCAATTTAATCATGACAATACGTCAACGGCAACACGACATCGGCGGGCAGGTTGTCGCCTCGGGGTGTACTTTCAGCTCCACTCGACAGAAACAACGGAGCATTCAAAGCTAATAGTCAAATTACACGACACCATGCTTTCCCGAAACGAAACGCATGAATCTCTCGGAAAATAACTGTCAAATATTTTAAAAGTTGACCATAAATCACGAATCAATGACCGAGAATGAGTTACCGTCAAGTCCCAGAAGGGGTGAAATATGTGAAAAACACGTCGTCAATGTCTGTTCATGCACTTGTTCCGTATTCATCGTTACATATAATTTTCAATGAATTATTTATATTTCTCCTATTCATGAGGGCTATCACCGGCACGGCCTCCCTGCGTGTGCTGTCCAGGAAGAGGATGTCGATTCACACGGTTACTTACTCCCCGATAACTGACACCGTTGGCACCAGTCTCTGACACCCCCGGCCTAAACGGCACCATCAACGTTATAGTCACACATTTATTTGTCATTTGATCATTATCTACTATACTAGAATCATTTCAGTTTGTCAGTATCAGTACTTCATAATGAAAAGTAAGTTTGCAAGTTACGAAGTGATTTAAGAGAAAAATACAGAGGCAGGAAGGGTGTGTTTCCTTTCATGTGTTCAGGCACTGAATCATAAATATATAAGAAAAACACGTTTTTCTCATCTTTAAGTTGTATACGATATTAAGTACGTATATAAGTTCAGTATGAGAAAAAACGATGTTTACCAAATCGTCCCTGTTTTATCATTTTTTACTACAAACTACAGTCAGAATAGCAACATGTCTCTCGCCGAAACCCGCCTTGTGATCAATGAACCCTAATAAACTTTAGGTTGAACTCTATAC